CGCCTGTTTTGCCTTTCGTTCGTGCTCGATACACATCGATAAGTTTATAGGCAAAAAAGTACAGAGCTAGACGGTCTTCTTCATGGTCTCGTACCTCCCGGCGCGCCGGTTCACCTTTTACCGAGGAACAGTCGAATCGCACGGAACTGTTGCCTGATTCTCTCCTCTCCATCGCGTATGCATTAAATTCATTTATTACAAAGCATTTTTATTCCCCGTTTATACGAAACACAGTCCATTAAATACGGTGCAATTGTGGATCTCATAATTTCTCATTACTGTCAAGAGTTATTTTTCGTTCGAGCCCGCCCGGTCGGACGAGACCAATTTACGCTCCGCGCCCAGGCTTTACGATACGCCGTTCAGAAGAATTGCCAGTCGATGAAAATTTCATTTTCGCTTTCCCATATAACAAAGCGACGTTTGTAGCAGCGCGCGCGGCGCACATTAACATACGATATCGCGCTCGGGTTTGCACGATACCCGGGCCGAAACAACAATAACTCGTTTTGGAGAGACGCGTCGTTTTAATCGACCGTCCCGAACGATCGCGAATTAGCGCGGCGCGAGGATACGTAACTCGTCGTCAGGGCCGGTCGTTCTACAAATTGGCCCTCGGTCCTCGCCGAGGATCGGCGGGGGCGTACCTACCCCGGGATAATTAATCCCAATTGAATTAATTAGACTCGCGCGGCGGAAATTAAGTGCCGTCGGGATGCGTGCGAGTCGCACCGGCTGCGTAATATAGGACGTCGGTTTTTGCTACTAGGACCCAATAACCGAGCATGCTTTACCGGGAATCAACGGTAAAATTGAACCACTAAATCTGCAACGTTGCAACATTGCACCTGTCCGCCTCGGCTGTGTTTTCGATAACGATTCACGAGCCACCCCGCGAGAAATTAGGTGATCTTTCACCCATAGTTACTACGGTCATTTTAAATGCGATCGCTCATTGCGATTTATAAACTCGCTGCCAATGTCTCTGATCGGTAAATCGTTCAGCAATTATTCCCGTGTAACGTTATTGGATATTATTCAGAAATTTTCGGAAAATAAGTGGTCAGACAAAGCCACTGTCGCGATACTCTTCGCAAACGAGAAGGGTCGCTGCTATAATTTTACTCACGATTCGCGAAGAGGAAACGATAAAACTGCGACGGTACGGGATGTTCTACCCGTCCGGGAGTACACCTGACTTCCCTGACACCGCGAAAGATAACACGTGCCTTTTCCGTTTCAACTGTCTTATTCCACGATTTTAATGTCTCGTTCTCCTCGCGCCTAACGCTCTCCTCTCCTTGCCTCGGCCTTAAATAACTCCGTGGGACTAATGTACATTCTCTGAATGGCAACGCGAGGAGATAAGAGGAACGGACTAAACGAGTTCGCGTAAGCGCAACGATTTGCCGTCTTTTATTCGTCCGGCCACTGAAATCACAGCGATTGATAAATCGAGCATGTCCAGTGATAAGCGTCGCCGGAGGAAATTGAAATTCCGAACGCGATTCCACTCCGAGTAATTTCTTGGAATTCTTGAAAATACTCGATCGTGCGTGGGAAGAGGAGTCATATAAGAAATATAAACGGCATCCTACGATGTTCTTAGCATCTTATCAAGTATTGAACGAAAGAAGTACTGATTAATTCTGGAGACCTGTTCGTTTCGTTTTTTAAACCTAGGCTACGGAGATGCCTGTGAACGAGCGGCAGAACGCCTGATTAATACCTTTCCCCAGTATTCTAATGCAGTTTACGCTTCAACCTGATTCTTTCGAGTGCTCGTTGAATCTGGCAAGAGTGGAAGTTGGCAGTTGTATCCTGGGGCTCTCGGATCCAAATGTATTTGAAGGACGCCAAAAAAGTAGTGCCAAATAGACAAATACACTGCGATATGAAAATTAACCGAATATAAAGTGTGTCATCGGAAATGGGCCGATTATTTCTCGCCACGGTCGAATTCTAGTTAGCTCGAAACCCGCTGTTTCGGATAAGATTCTGCAGGAAAACATTTAATTGAAATTCTAAATCTACGTTTGTATTGAAGAAGTATATTTGACGAGCGCATTGGATTCGCAGTTTTGTAATTAAAACGCGGGATGAAATTTGCGAGAAAATGATGGTCGTAACGAGGAACCATAAACGTCGGGGCGGGGGTAAATGTAAATTTCGCGAAAGTAGATTTAGCTTCCTCGGCTGGTAGTCCGCGGCAATTCGTGTACGGCCCGCGGCGTTATCTGTAGATTTAATTCGGCCGAAAGACGAGGGCCGGAAGTCTCGACGCGCGAGGGAGGAAGAAAAGGTCGTCCCTCACCCCCTGCCACCTCCCTCCCTCCCCTCCCACCGCCCCTTGTTCTTGATACACGAAACGCCACGGAAAGCTAATTCGCTTTGAACCGCCGCGGGGCGTACGATTCCTCGCGAACTTTTCTATTCCCGGTGGATATTTAGCCGGGGAGAATAAGAGTGTCATGCAACCTGTCCCAAACGCAATTAAGATAAGCGCCGGCGATGTTTATAAATATATTTCGGTCTATTCCCATTTCCCAGAGAGAGCCAGCGAGCTACGGAGGGTTGGCAAAGTCGGGTCGCCCAGCCACTATATCTGACAGGGAATACTTTCGGCGTGACCGGCCGCGGGCGACGAATCCCTCGGAAACTTTCAGATTCACAGCGCCCCGACCGGTCTCGTCGTTCCTCGCCGGTCGACTCGGCCCTTTTTCCCTTCGCGCCACCCTCCGCGAGCGCTTTTATGTGGGTTAGTTTTGGGTCAGGTTAGACGCCCTACGTGCGAATGAGACGCGCACCCGAGATAACTAAGGGTGGATCCGGGACGCGTACGATGCGGCGCGACGTGCTGCATGAAAAATTACAACAGCGTGGCAAGTTACACACCTTCGTCCTCCTTATTCTCCCTCGCTTCTATCTCGCCTAACCCACGCTCGTTCTTATTTCCACGCCACGCCGTACACCGGCTTTCTCCGAGTTTCCCCTCTTTTACTCTCGTTTTCGTCTCCGCGACGTAATTCCCCGCTAAGAAACTGTTACCGCCCCGTGACTCCACCTGCTATCGCGGCGAAATTGCATCCCCGAAGTCTCCGTGAGATTAAAACGTCTCCGGAGCTTCAGGTCACGACCCGTAGAACGACCGATTCGAATTTCGCATGCACGAGTTATGTGACAGGGAACAGCGTTCAACCTGTTCGCCGGTTTGTTTGTTAGCAAGCTGATAATAAATCTCTGCGACATGAAAATGTGCGTGCGAAAATAATAATTCATTCTCCTATCGGTCTGAGTTTAAACCAATTCATTTACATTTAATATCCATTCGTTTTTTACCCAATAAAGATTGTTTCGCGTTTTTGTTTTGCGATCTCGAAACGAACATATTCTTGATCAGTACCCCTTGATACGTTGGAAAATGGAACGCGAGAATGAAGTCGTAAAACCGTCGGATATAACTGCTCAGTTATTCATGAGAGTACTTCATTTTTCAGCAATTTTCATGTTTTACTCCCGCGGTCTCTGGATTCGTGTAGATTTGTGTTTACGACATGTAACAGCGCTCTCTCGGCTACGCGACCGTCTGCGCACGTACCAACAATTTAACAGGCATACGAACTTACATAGTTACGACAACCTCGATTCTGTAGAAGTAGAAAGTATCCCGCGAATTATAGACAGATCAAGGCTATCAGACAATGACGATAATGTCCTCTCGTAAATAGCATGTGATCTTAGACCGAGTTCTGTCCACGAGTCTCGCGGCGCGCGTGCCTGCTTACATCCATCTACGTGTGTTGAGATAGTCAAATGACGATCAGATAGGGCGAACAGGCCCTTTGAATAAATCCTCAGACCGATAGGAAGGCGGTCCCAGAAGGTTTGCTCGACAGTGCGATAGCCGATAATGGTCTGGTTCAGCCACCGTCCAATTCCAGGGTTAATTACCATCGTTTTAACCTGCTATACCAGCCTCGGTTCTTACGTGCTGGTCCTACCCGTTTTCGAAAATTAATTTTACGACAATGGGAATGTCGATACTTCCATTTACCTCGGGACCGATCCCGGTTCGCAAATAAGCAATTCAATTAAAACCCGTTAGGATGAATCGTTCCGTTTTTACCGGGATCTCAGATCGACACCCAAGTCTCATCTCAGTAGCTCATGTATAGTGGAAAGAAAAATTGTCATCACAGCGTCGAGCTCAAGGAAGCTCATTAAGATGGGGGAAATAATTAACAAATCTTCTCGGGGAAAGGAAACGAGCTCGTAAAGCACTGTGACTAATGCGAGGTATTTATATCAACTAGTAGATAACGAGCTGATTGTTACCAGGGCGAAGTTCGCGTGAACGTAACGACTAAGCACTTTCACAATATCGATATTACTATCCGACGGTGATGATAACACGACCGTGTTATTCATATCGTGAACGTTCAACGAGAAAAGGCGTACGGCCAATAAAATGTTGAAGAGTATGTATTTCGCTGTTCAACAGATCTGTATCGACTTTCATAAAGTAATAAAAAGTGTACGATGACGTGGAAATGATTTGACTCGAGATAATCTTTCGGGACGTCTAAGAAGTTTTTTTTTTTTCGTGAAAACGTCACGTTTATTTCTGAAAGTTCGACGAATTCGGTCGGCGCGACTGCGTGATGCTCGGACATAACCGACCGGCGTTCTTGTCTACACGTCCTGCAGCCCCGTTGCTTGTCGCACGGTTTGTTCGCGACGTGGAAAAATAATAACGCGATAGTCCCCTGTTAGTGCGGCGCCCTTAGTAATTATGCAGCGAAAAGTTTCAATCGTTTATATCTAATTACTATGACGTATTGAGTCGCGTCACGTGAGCCGATGGAAGGTGGCGAACCCACGCGAATCGTTAGAACCGACACTTCCTCGAGTTTCCAAGAAGCTTGCATTTCATTTTGCATCGAATCTGAAGTGAGTAAAACCGTCGATTAATCTCGTTTATTTTCGTCTTTTTGTTTCAGGCTGTGCATTTCTCACCTACTATAGTCGTGACAGCGCAATCAGTGCCCAAAACGCTCTGCATGAGAAGCGGACTTTACCAGGGGTAAGTCGTCTTCGAGAATATTATTTAAAAATCACTCCGGACCGGGCCGTGACACGAAGAATTAAAAACTGACGATATCGGGTGCGCGAAACGCTCCGGTCCGATGTCATAATTCTTATTCGGCGCAATTTCACGCAAAGAAAGAAAACGAAAAAGTGAGGGGAAAGAGGATCGGGAAAAGCTGCAGTGACGTTAACAGATACTTATCGCTGGCGGAGCCGTATGGCGCTTTCCAGGCAAATTCCAACGATTCACCCCGCGATCCGGAATATTAAAATGGCCCGGCGTGACGAGTTAATCTCTTAACGCCGAAAGGGTAGTTAGGGGAAGGGAGCGGAGGGTCGATGGTAAGGGTTGAAAGGAGAACGGGGACCAGAGGGCGCGACTTGCAGAGTCCGCGATGTATCATCAGACTTTCCGTGCCTCTTACAAATGCCAGGGGTGGCTACACGCGTTCTTATTCCCGGGTAACACGAGAATTCCGCGTTCCCTTAGTCACGGTTAGATCTGGCAAGCGTGTCCTTCACCGCGTTCGGATCGGTTCTATTTTACGATACTGGCAACAGCCGAAAATTGGGCCAATCTCTTTATTGCTTCGCAATGGGAATAACATACAGGATTTGATATCAGGATTTACAGTCCATTGTTCGGAAACTGTCGGAACTGAAGTGACAGTACATTCCGATTCAAATGTAAAGGAGCACTATAAAGGAAAGTAATTGGAAAGTTCAATTATATATCGTAGTTTATGGCGAAGAAATCCATTAAACGCTTTCGTAAGAAATTAAGTGTATAATTAAATTTGTCTCGCGTAGATGCTCACTATAACGTGGGGACTCGGTAGTAAACTTGGTTTCAGATAAACTTAACGGTACGTAGGATAGTAGTAAATTTTTGATTGGTCTCGTAGCGATGAAACGCGACGTATTTTCAAAGTAAATGGAGCATGGTCCTCCGAAAATTTTCCATCGATTGTGGCCGTAGGGGCTGAAGAGTACAAGCGCCAGCACTGAACGCTGCTTAACTGCCAGAGCAGTGCCAACACGCCCCTTCCCATTATCCGAGCTACCCCTTGGAAGTCCGTAGCGAGTACTGGCGTTATGTTTCGTTAATCTATCCCCGAAACAACGCAGCTCCGGTCTTGGCACCGCTGCCAGCGGAAATCGTTTTAAATGTTATGCCGAGAGATGCGCCGGGGGCTCGGCTGAGTTATGACTTTATGAAGAGGCAGACGCGTACACGCTGATACGGACGCACTTTTGCGTTCCCGCACGCCTACACGTCCGAGCGCACACGCTCACCGCGGGCTGACCGAATACGAAATACAGGCGGGGAGGGGCGGGGAGTAAAAAAAAAAAAAACTGTTCGCCCACAATTGCTTCGAGCGTTCCCCGCGTCCATCGGCGTGCACCGTTTCGAGATTTTTGACGTTTTTATACCGTCCTGTCGGGAGGAGTATATTTCATTCCAGTTTATCCGTGAATCTTGAATTACTCCATACTGTACGAGAAAATAAAGTTAATGCCAGTCCGAATCTGGTTGAAAAAGAAAAATGAAAACGTTCCTCAAATATCAGTTTCACTTCTGGGCGGCCGCGACGTTCCTGTTTTCCATTTTGACCGTCGAGCCCATTTTCGTCCATCAAATTTACTCCGAAGTTTTACCATTGTTTACACGCGGTTCGAAATAACGCGTCGGAAATTGAGTCGACGCGGCGACGAGTCGATAAACGTCGGCGGCCGTTCGATCCGCATTTAGGACGTCGGCCCTTTGCCGATTGACCGGCCCGGCAGTTGTAATATCCGAACGCACCTGAGACCATAACTTGAGCAAGCAGCGGACCCTTCATAAACAGGAATACCGAGCTGAACGCTCCCGCTGTGCAAGCAATAACAATGCCCGTGGCTAACCGGCTATACTTAGCTCGCGCTTACTACGGAAGCGATCGTTGCACGTGCGCACGCGCTTGTTCATGCTCACGCGAAACCCCGAAAGAAAGTATTCGGTATCTCACTTCCGGTGGTTCTCGCGAATCCCATTCTCCGTCGTGCAAAACTCTACCCGTCTTCGGGAAGCTCGTCCGAACGTTCTGACGAATCATTTTTCTAAACCCGATCGCAGGGATTATTCGGAAATTTTTACTCACCTTCTCATTGTCGAACATTTATTTAGACGTTACACTTCGCCTTATCACTCGGCCTGAATTAGGTTCGATCAATCACTATACGGATTCTCCAAAAGCACATTAAACCGGCACGAAGTACACAATCGCGTGATCAGCTTAGATCATCATTCCGGCCGATTCTTATCGATAATTCGATGGACTCGCCGCGAGGCTTGATCGAACTTTCGCGTGCTTGACAAGATCATCCGAATGTCGTCTCTTCGCTCGGCGATGGCCAAAAAGGAAGAAGAGACAGGTTCGAGATGTTCATTAAGCAAATTACCGCTTAGACGAATCGGTCCGTACGACGCGATAAATCCAGGCGTACTTAAACGAAATTAAAGATCAAGGCGAGCGCCGTCCCTTTTTCGACACAGAACGCTTCGACGGTCTACTCTATATTGAAATTGAAAGCATCACGCTTTCATCCTATCCGGCCACCAATTTTCTTCTTTTCACGTAGGACACGTATATTACGCAATATTATATATCTTTTCCCGGCGCTGGAATCTCGCCGCGTATTCCCGCGATAAAGTCTTCCAGATTTAATTCCTGTTTATTTACTTTGCCCGTGAGCCCCGGCCACCGTCTTGGCTGCGATGTTGGTCTAGCCGGCCCCAACATTAACAGATCGCCAGATGTTACTGCTGCTCGCCGGTATTTTGTCGGCGACAGAAAAATTCTCATGGTGGAGTCGATTAAAAATATAACGTCCTTCCGTCGCTCTTTAATTGAACCGCCACTCTCGAGAACGCCATTAAATGATTCAAGCATCATTTCCAATAATAATCGTCGTTTATTCTTAGTGATAGAAAAAATCGTGTCGTCTAAAGAATCGAGGTAGGAAACTTGAGGAAAGACCGACAGCGCGCTGACGTTAAAACGAAACGAGTTACATTGCGATTTGATGGTTTCAAGGAAATCCATTAATCCTCCGGCTACTTGTCGGAAGCCGTTCTTTTCCGTGTCGAAATTAGGAGCGAGGTTAAGTAGCGAGCAGGTTAGGGGCGACGCGATAAGTCACGATGAAATTCAGAAGGACGGATTGCGCGCGACTGACAAATTGGCGGTCCGATTTACGAGGGTGTAATTGGCAGTGGGTGCGCCATGGGGTTTGCTCCGGCTCAGCTTAAAGGGAAAAGAAGAAACGGTGAACTGCGTCGAGCGGACGACCGGGAGGGAGGGACGCGCTTTCAGTTCGCGCGAATTTGCATAAGGAAAACGATACTTGCGCGTGCGAAGCACGGAACGCGGCGCGCGGGGTAAAAAGGGTGAGACAAAAAGACAGCCGGGAGGGAAAGAGCTGAACAGCTCGGACCGGGCATTGTTTGCATTCCACCCTAACGAAGTTTTTGCAACTTCCGCGTGCACCTGTGCCGCCCCCGGGGGCCAATGAAATTTCTGCGATTTCCACGCTTCTGACCGTTCACCGTTCGTAATTCATTAGCCACCGTGGCGATAGAGAACGTCCGGTCTATTCGTAATTTCTAGGTAACGTTCAGACGTAAAGTGGACTGTTTACCGAAACATAGTAATCATTTGCATCGTGGAAAGTGGAAAGGACGAGTTTAAAATTTTCAGCCAGGAATCGCGTCGAAACCGACACCGATGGTCGCATCCTGTAATTATTATGTAATGATTATGGCCGGGCGTGGTGGCTGGCAAACAATTACGAGGAACTCTTCCGTGGGTACGCCTACCCGCGGCGAGGGATCGTTTCCGCGAGGTAAAGACGCGAATAAGACGAGAGGAAGACGCGGAAGAACAAGAAGAAGAAGAAGGAGGCTAAGGAGGGATGGAATGGAAATGGTAGGGGACCTAGAAGTAAAGGAGGGAGAGTCACTCCGGAGGAAGCAAGCCGAGTGGCGACGCCTCAGTGCTTACTCTCCCTTGTGCTTTCGTTCGCAAGCGCGGGCTTGCGAGTCCTCGTTTTCCCTCTTTATACGTATGAACGTCTACTCTCGTCCCCGTTGTATCTCCCGTCTGCGCATAAAGCCGCCCGTTACCATCCTCGTGGGTGCCTCGTGGACCTTCCGTCTCGGGTTACGCGATACGGCACTGAGAATAAGCCAGTCGCAGTTACACGCGCCCTTCCGTGCCGCTCTTTGTTCCCCATTCTTCGTTTTGCTCTCGTCGGAACTGCCGCGTACCAGATCCGCGAGGCCGGTGCCGCGAAATCGAGAGTGATCGTCAAGCATTCGTGCGCGGTGAAGAAAGTTCGAAAACGCCGCTGCGCGGCTGGGTGTCGAACGGTTCGTTGCCGTATGAGTCAGAGTCGTGCGGGCACCCTCGTTTCTCATCGGTGATGGGAATTCACCAAAGACCGTAAGAAGAACGGCCGCTGTGTCAGTTTACACGTGGTTATTACACCGGGCCGTTGATTTTTACCAACGTTTTCGTCGCCGCCGGGGGCAAATTGAATCGCGCCAAGTGTTCGTGAAGTATTAAAGTGAAGCGGTGCCGCATAGTGCTTCTGCGCAGTAACCGACTCCAAGTAACACGTTGGCATTCGAGATATACCCCGGCCTTCCAGTTTCGACGGATGCTTACACGAAACTTCGATTACGCGCGCCACTTTTCAATTTTTCACGCGTTCCGTTCGTACGTGCGCCAGCAATCGCGTCCGTTCACGGTCGATTGAAATTTCGATCGCGGACCCAGTGCCGGCAAGTGTCAACTTTGTTGTGCCTTGTTGCTCGTCGTTCGACGACAGTGATACGTAATTATTTTTTACACGCCGCACCATGGTCGACTTTATGAGCTACCCGGACATCTCCTACCTCTACGACGAACTGATGACGGTACGAAACGTCGCCTTTTTTCTTCACTCTCTTTG